GGCTAACCTGGAGTAACCGGTCATAAGGACTGAATGTGTACAGTTTAACAAGTTGAAGGGGGTAAATGTGGTCGAAAAAAAAACTCAGTGACCAAATGTGTACAAATCGAAAAATATATTACCCTTTTAAGTCATTATCCCCGAAAAAAAAATGTTCAATTTTTTATTTAAAATTAGATGGACAAACAGTTAAAAATTGAAACTAATCATGTACCGACTCAAAACCAATGCCAAAAGTTTTAGTAAAAAATTCTTTTGACTGCTGTTTTAGATTATCCTTTTTATCTAATAAAATAAAATATAGTTTATTATACTCATCCACCGGTTAATAAATTAAATATAAAATTGAAACATTAAGAAACCTAGGGTTGTTTATTATTTGGATAAACTTGAATTGTCCAATTGGACAATTTGGATTGGACTATTTGGTTCGTGTATTCGGATTTTTGGATTGTTTTCAACAAAACCGAATTATTATTTTGGATTTCAGATTGGTTTTGGTTTATAAAATAAGAACCAAATAGTCCAAAAAAACCGAATAAATATTTATTATTTATTTATTTATAATATATATATATATATATATATATATATATATATATATATAGTTATTTATTAATTTTGTAATTTATTTTTTCAAATAGGTTCAAAACGTTTCACCCGATAAAAAAAACATTAATATGCATTTTTCTCTCAAAAGTTTTCTATCTATAAAATATTTAACTATAATATATCTTTAATTATAATATATATTTTTAGTAGTTGTTTATAAATTTCAAATCACAACTAAATAATTTTTTTCATTTCTTGTGTAAAGTTAGGATAATATTATAATTATATGTCGTTTTAAAATGTTTTCGTTTTTGAAAGCCGAATTATAAAAACCGATCCAACCGAATTGTGATCGGATCGGATCGGATTTAAATTTAGTTTGGACTATTCAGATTCATGTTTTAAAAACCTAAATCAATTTAGATTCACTTGATTGGAACCGATCCGATCCACATAAACAACCTTTAGAAACCAAAATAAAATGTTTTAAACACATCAAAAACAGCATTCAAAATCATGGCCCACATGCAGTCCTCTACGTCTTCTTTCTCCCTAATTTTTGGTCTTTTTTCTTTTCTTTTTTCGTTACATTCCAATTTACAAGCCACGTCCAAATAAACAACAAAATAGCTCGGGTTGGGCGAATGGGCGGTGCTTTTGTTTCGACAATCTCATTTCTCACACAATCAACACACACACAAAAATACACACATCTTTCTTGTTTTCTTGCTTTTCGAACGAAACATGTTTATAAACTAATCCCCAATTCGTTCTTTCGATTACTTCAATAACATGGACTCTTGAAAGTCATGTTCTTTCCATACTCTGTTTTCGTAAAGTAAAACAGAGTCAGAATTCCGTGTCCAGTTTCACCACTCAAATATAATAGAAATTTTCTGTTTCTGATATGAGTGTGTTTTTTTAATCCATAAATCCAGAAGTGAGAGAAAAGAATTCTATAATTGTCGGGTTTGTGGCCTATATCTGCATCTGAATGGATATTGGATATTTCTTGAGTATCTATATCTAAAACCTAGAAAAAGGAGTGGGGATCTTGCATGATACCAAAAGGGTTTCTCCGATTTGATTCTTTTTTTGTTTTAAATCAATTAGATTCTGTCGGGTAAGGCGGGATGGATTTCTGGCCGGAATTTCTCGCAAGCAGTTGGGGTAAGGAATTTGTCGCCGGAGGATTCGGTGGAATCGCCGGAATCATGGCTGGATACCCACTTGACAGTATCAGAGTCCGGCAACAAAGCTCCCCTTCCGGCTCTGCTCTTCGCATTCTCCGGCAGGTTGCTACTACTGAAGGTCCTCTTGCCCTTTACAGAGGCATGACTGCTCCCCTTGCCTCCGTCACCTTCCAGGTTCTTATTCTTAACTTCGCTTCATCTTCATATATGAATTTAAACATCGCTTTTTTAGGATCTTAAGTCGTTTCGTTGTCGCCATATAATTAGAATCAATTGGATGCACATCATCTTCTATATCTAAAGTTGTAATTTTCACTTTAGATATATTATTTTTCCTTGCAGAACGCGATGGTTTTCCAAATCTACGCCATATTATCGCGAGCATTTGACTCATCAAATTCCTCCACCGACCCCCCATCTTACAAAGGCGTAGCCCTAGGAGGTATCGGAGCCGGAGCAATCCAAAGCATAATGCTCTCCCCAATCGAATTAATCAAGATCCGACTTCAACTCCAAACCCAATCAGAAAAAGGTCCCTTAAGTGTCGCGAAAAACATAATAAAAACAGAAAGTTGGCGTGGACTCTATAGAGGCTTAACAATCACAGCCTTAAGAGATGCACCTTCACATGGTTTCTATTTCTGGACATACGAATTCATGAGAGAACAACTTCATCCTGGGTGTAGAAAAAGTGGCCAAGAAAGCTTCAACACCATGCTTGTTGCAGGTGGACTTGCGGGTGTTGCTAGTTGGGTTTGTTGTTATCCTTTAGATGTTATTAAAACTAGACTTCAAGCGCAAACACCAAATTCAAAAGTGAAGTATAATGGAATTGTGGATTGTTTTCAAAAAAGTGTTAGAAATGATGGGTATAGTGTGTTGTTTAGAGGACTTGGAACTGCTGTTTCTAGAGCTTTTGTTGTTAATGGTGCTATCTTTACAGCTTATGAAACTGCATTACGGGTGTTTTTCAACAATGGTGATGGTAATACGATTGATAAGCAAGAAACCCTTCAAGCAGATAATGCTATTTGAGCAAGTTAGACTAAAAGAATTCAGAAACAACACATTCTGAAGCAATGTAGCTCAGAAATCGGAAGTGGGATATGTAAAGATGTTTTAAACTTTTAATCGTAGTCATGTAAAGAATTCAAGAAAGGGTTGCAATTTATTTTGTTATCACAACTTTTCTTGTTATATCATATTAAAAGTTTTGATTTTTAAATTCAGTAACTAGTAACTACCTCCGTTGTCTCTAAGATTGAGCCCTGTTAACATATGAACATCATTGTAGTTTCTAACAGCCTGCACAATAGATCGAACTTGTTTGTAAGGATCTGAAGAGTTGAAAATTTCAGAATCAATGAAGACTCCATCGCAGCCCAATTGCATCATGAGAGCAGCATCTGCAGGCGTGACAATACCTCCAGAAGCAAAATGGACTACAGGAAGCCTACCCAGTTGCTTGGTTTGTGCAACAATGTCGTAAGGTGCACCCAATTCTTTTGCGAATGTGAAGACTTCATCTTCATCCATGTTTGTTAGAACCCTAATTTTTCCCATTACTTTTCTTACATTTCGGACTGTGTCAACAATGTCGCCAGATCCAGATTGATCTCCTTGAGTTCTAATCATCGCCGCACCTTCTCTCGCTCTCCTCAACCCCTCGCCCAAATCCCGACAACCTGACACAAAAGGGACACGAAAGTTATGTTTGTTGATGAAGTTATCGTCGTCGGCTGCAGCAAGAAGCTCGTTTTCGTCTATGTAATCAACGCCAATGGCTTCAAGTACCTGTGCTTCGACAAAATGGCCGACTCGGGCTTTTGCCATTACGGGAATCGGGACAGATTCTTGGTATTCTTTAATAACAGCTGGATCTAACATTCGAGAAATGCCGGAGGTGGGTGTTGATGGTTCTGATACAATCACACAGCAAGCTCCGGCGGATTCAGCGATCTTGGCTTGGTTGACGTTAGTGACATGGATAATTGCTCCGCCACTAAGCCGTTGAGCTAGTCCGACCTTGACTGAGAAGGGATTTTGATCTTTTTTGTTGAGATCCGACACGGCGGTGTTGCCGTAAATGGTGACTGCAGAGTCGTCAGCCATCTGCTAGGTGTTTATCGAAATGCGTGAAAGAGGAGTTGTAAAGCAAGAATCGTGCACAATGATTTGAGTTGGGAATCTATGTAGAACAGTAGAAGAGTATAGGAGGTTTCAAGCAAGGTGGAAACTTCCGTCGAGGTTCGTCGGTGGCATATTTTCAGGAATATGCAGAAAAGCCATGTTGCATGATACCTGTAATTGAAATACACAATCAATTATAATTCAGCAGAGCCAATATTATTAAAATAATAGGTTTGTTTGTTTAGCTCTGAGTTTTTTAACATCTTTCGTGCAGTAAAGTTTAAGTGCGTAGGATTGCGAATTTATTGGCTTTTTTTTTTTTGAAAAGCCAAGAATTCTTGGTTTTTTGCTAAAGTTTTTTTTTTCCTATAAAATTATTGTTTTTCAAAATCTTTTTAACTTATTGGTTTTTAGAAAAGTTCCATAAAATAATAAATCATTTTAAAAAAAACTTCTAAACACCGACTAAATGTGTGTTTGAATGTTGTAAATGTTGGGAAAAAGAAAACATAATATCCTTGTAAAATTTAGGGGCAATGGACAATTTATAACACTATTATTTTGGTTTCATCTTATATGTCATATCACTCATGTTGTTAGGGAGGAGGGAGTCATTCCCTCCCATCTTACTCAACAGTCAACCCACTGTTACATCGGCTTTTCTTTATTCTCTCTATTCTTACCCTTCCAACTCACAACACATGAAATCCTTATTTTTCATAACCCACTCAACTTTGAATTTTAAAATAAATACACTAATTAAAATCATTCAAAAATAATTAACAAAACATTAAAAAACGTATCAACTAATTCACAAACTAATTAAAAACATACAAACACAATTTGGTACAAGTTTTATAGCTTGAAGTACAATTAAGTAAGACATAGAAGAATAGAGAGAAAGCTAGAGAGAGAAAAGTGGCGGTTCTAGAATCCCACTTGAGATGAACAAAAGCTCGAGCCCCATCAACCCCTCGACCAGGGGATCAGAATCTGACGGTACCGTCGGTACCGCCCCATCCCAGCTCCCCAAACCGCCACGACTTCCTCCTCCCTTATAACATCATTGTGGGAAATGGTGACCATGTTAGGCGATATTGAGTGCATCGGATTGTTATGCGAATTATGACTTGGCAAGCCAAGTCATGCGTGAGTTGTTTGGCTAAACCACCCAAGATTTATGGATTTGACATGCTTATTTTGGGGTTGCGGGTTCCAACAACGACATCAACGTTCTTGATCAGTCACCAATATTCAACAATCTTTTGTCATGAAAGGCATCAGAAGCCACTCCTGTTACCTACCAAAAGCACGACGCCCCTAGGTAAATGAGCAGCATCAGTGGCGGACGCAGAACGTTTTAGTAGGGGTGACACTAAAAAAAATTTCGGAATAAATCTAAATTAGTAGTGGTACTTGTATTTTAAGCCGGTGCACTTAATAGAAAAAAAAAATATAAATTTTTTTTACACTACATGCCGGAATCGGAGCAGTGGCCCGGGACCCCCCGGACTCCACTAAGGTCCGCCACTGAGCAGCGTGTCCCTCAGAACTTCCTATAAATAGTAGGCTTAGGCCTCCTCATTTGTTACACCATTCTCTCTCTTTCAGTGATAATCTCTCTCTCACCTCGTGATTCGACTTCTCATTCTAAGTTTGATTAGTGAAACTCTATAAGTTTCAGAAGGAGATAAGAAAAAAGGAGTTAAAGTTTTGCTCGTGGCTATTCGAACTGCAAGTAAGTTACAATTACTTCTATCTTTAATTGGTTACACCATTAATCGTTATTATGAGCCTGTAAGTGTTAGATTAATCATTGATTCCAGTTAAATATATTGATTGATCTACTTACGGGATAGGTGTCTAGGATAGACATGTCATGGCATATGGTTTTCCCCAAAAACCTTATCTTTGACCCCGTTAAGCTTTTAACTGATCCATTATGGAAAACAAGCGTTACACTTTACAACTTGTGTACACAACACAACGACTAAGAAGCCAAGAAAAGAATATGAGCTATAAAGTTATTGAATATTTTATAGATATAGATCCTTAAGAATATATCGGTCTAGAACTAGTCTTAAGAAGTATGGAAGGTGATAAAAAATACATATGTATTAAGGATCAACTGTAATGCCCCGATTCCAGGTATTGATTTAAATAAAAGGTTAATTGGTTTAATGTCCTACTCGACGAGTTGGTTGCCCTACTCGTCGAGTAGCAGCGGGGTTGGAACGCGTGTTTAGTGACCTACTCGACGAGTCCACTAAAGGACTCGACGAGTAGGAGCTGGTAGATTAAACCCTAAATCCCAGGGTTTTGCACCCTATTTAAGGAATGATAAGCCTCCTTTGGCCTCTTTGCAGTCATTTGAGAGCTCAGAAAATCCTAATTCGTGTGGTGTTTCACTTTGTGAGTGTAAAGCTTTGGAGAGGAGATCTTTTGAGAAGAGGAGCTTGGGGAACAAAAGGCTTGGAGCAAGTAGAGTGTGGGAATCAACACTTATCTCAGTTATCACCTTCTGGAGGTAACCAAATCGCCTTTTTCCTTGTAAATCTCTTCTATTGGTTGAGTTTAGGGCTTTTGTGAGATATTAAGTTGGAAGGATGAGCTATGGGCTAGATCTGAGGTTGTAACTTCAGATCTGGACCCTCCTCAGATTCAAGAAGCATAAAGTTACAGCTTTGGTCATGATTGAGGTCCCTCTTGAGCATGAAGCTCCATTAAGAACTTAAAATAGGCATTTAGAGCCTTTATAGCCATGCATGCACGTAAAGTTTACAACTTTACGTGATAAGCATGCCCTAGAAGCTTGGATCTGTGGTTTGGAGCCGCTGCATGGCTCAAATCAAGTCTGTATGGGAAAAGGATTGAATGGACTCGGCAAGTCGCGAGGTCGACTCGGCGAGTCACATGAAGATGGCCGTGAACTCGACGAGTTGGATGAACAACTTGGCGAGTCCGATGAAGATCGCTGTAGACTCGACGAGTTGGATGAACAACTCGGCGAGTCGGATGAGTTTTGCCCAAGTTATGAATGTGTGTGTGTCCGTCGTGTGCAAAAAGGAAAACTCGACGGGTGGCCTTAGAGTTTGGTCG